CCCTAACCCCAAAAGTTGGATATACTAATAAGTAAATATCATCTTATCGTTTAGATTTAATTTAAGTTTTGGAGTCAACACCTAAGAAAATTAATTTCTTTGAATGTACAATGCAATTTGAGAATGCAACCTTAAAATGACTCGAGGAGGAATAAATCTTGAAGTGCATAAAAACTACCTAGTAAACATCCTAATTGTTAATACCATAAATTAAAGATGTACGACTGGATTGCTTAAGTTGTGTACTACTTATACCATGGATTAAATTGTTTCCCTAAAAAATTATGTTCTTATGTTTAAATAGCTTGTTTGACTTGTGGGGAAAGGGAGTAATGAAAGTAACATCCTTTCTTTTACTTTGAAAGTGATAAGTATAAATTTTGTATATTTTTTACATATCTTTAAATTCTAAGTTTTAGTTCTTTGACTTGTTTGAGGCTTATTTTATTTTATGTTATTTTATTTTACATATGTTTAATTTTTCTTAGGTAAGGACTAAACTGCAAGAACTTAGAATTTTTAATATTAAACTGAAGAAATCAATATTAGTGAGATCAAAGTGTTCACTTATTAAAAGTGAGAGATTCAAGCAATTTTACCAATGAAGAGTCGAAATTTACATGAAAGGCAAAATCCTGACACGAACTTTCTATTCAAAAATATAGTGACAGTATCAACACCCCATGTCGGATGTCAACTACCTGAGTAACAACTTAGCGTAGCATTTTGAGCTTTGAATAACTTAAATCGGGATTTTGAGTCTTTTCAGAAAGAATATAGTGCTGTAAGGGATTCTGCAACTCTTTCCAAAACTTCTTCACCCAAATCGTTCCAAATATATGCAATCAAGTGAAAGAAATCAAAGATATCATATAAGGCATGTCAATTTAGCAAGAGAGAGGACCCAATAGGTCTTAGGAGAGAAGGGGAGAAGCAAAAAGAGGAGCGGTAGCCTGTTGAGGGGGATTTTTTTTTCTAGCAAGAAGGGAGGAGGATCGCTAGTGAAAAAGAGGGATCTTTTAGCAATGACATTGATCAATTTTGGGTTCATTCTTTACTTTGGTTGAGAATGAGATTTTCTTTGCAATTAATCTCTATATATTTAATTATGAATTAAGTTACTTTTTCTGGGGTTCTAATTGGATCCAAACAATGAAATCTCAAGTTTTCAGTTGAATTCAATTTCTATTTACTTCTTTTTGTTTAAGTGATTATTCTATTTTGTACTTAATGATTCTAGTTCAATTGATCACTCAATTAATTGTTTTGGTAGCTAGCACTTATCTTGAAAAAGAAAGTGTTGGAGTTGAGTCCTTAAAAAAAAATAACACAAGTTACATGAGCGAAGAATATATTTATAATATCGATGTAGTTTCAAAAGAAAAATCATAAGGCTTAATAATCCTTTTAGTTATTTCGGTGTATATGTGGGAATACAAAACTTGATAGGTTCAAAGACAAATATTACTAGATCTTGGAAAAGATTAGTAATTTCTATATGAATTTTTCTACCATCACTTAGGAGTTGATAGATTAAGAAAGAAACAAGAAAGTTTGAAGAGGATTAGGTTGGTGAAAATTATGTCCCCGGATTGTTTAGCTATTGGAATTAATTTTGCAAATTAGTTTACTTTAGAATTGATTAAACCGTGTTTCTTATTCTTAAATTCCAAAATTTTTAGATAAAATTAAAATTAACAAAATGTCATTACATAGCAAGAGCTTTCCTAGTCTTTAATTTTGTGGGATAATATTCGATTCATCATTGTATTACTGGTTTGACAATAATGTATACTTGCATTTAGTATGAAGTTATATTTACAATAGAAAAAGATTGAAAAGGATGGATAAATTTTTTAATCAATCAAATTATAATATTTTTAAATATTGCAATATGATTGGCTA